AGGGAAAGCGTAGGGATGGGAGGGAAGGGGAGGGAAAGTATAGGGAGGGGAGGGAAAGAAAGGAACCTTACTTTTTTTGCCACTGTTTGAAGCAAGTACCCTAGAAAGTCCCAAAGCCAGATAGTTAAAATCTAGGCTCCAAGGTCAAAATTGAAGTAGAACCCATGTTCTCCTTCATTACCTATAAAACGAATCATTTTCCATCTAAGAGAAGCTCTGTTTTGAGGCTCTACTTTAAACATGTAAACCACCATGTAGTGTCTACATGGTAAACAACAGGCTCCATGAATCTGCACTTAACTCCAGCCCTTTACCCGGATGGCAGTGATGTGCTCAAATGTCCCTCCATGGATTGTATGTTCTGCAGTTGCAACCGGACAGATGTGCCCGTTGGAGAAGCACCTTACCCAAGCAAACGTGACAAGTCAAGACGTTCTTCAGGAAGTCCGTGAGGTCCCTCCTGGCGGGCAAGACCAGTGCATGCCCCACAGCTGTGTTATTGATCTGGTCAAAAAAAAAAGGAAACACTCAGTAGGAATGTTCAAAATCAGTAACTACTTGCAAAATATAGCTGAACAATAAATTAGAGTCACATCAATAAAACAAACTTCCCAGGGGATCAGTATCCTCTCACTGTTTTAGAGGGGAGGTTAGAAGAGTCACTGAGTTTAATAGAAAAACACAGGTTTTCTTCTGCTGAAATGAGCTGGAGTTTGAATCCCACTCCTGCACTTTCGGCCGAACCTGAAGCAGGATTATTTAACCTCTCCGGGGTTCAGTTTCCTTGGCTGTAAAATGGGGTGACAGTAAATTCTCAACAGAATTATTTGAGGGATTAAGTTTGGTAATGTGTGTAAAATGCCTGGTCTATCCTCTATCGAATAGTGGGGGCTTAAAGAATATCATCACTTTCTGCAATAATAAAAACAACTGGGAAACACTAGCTCCATTGCTTCATCTCTCTCCCAGGTCTCAAAAGGGATTTAATGACAAGGCAGTGATTAAATCATTTCCAGAGGATTCACAATTCCCACCCACCACAGCACACCATCACTAATTGTTTATTTAATGAATAATTAAGTTCAATTAATGAATAATTCATTTTTCGAACTTGCTGAAACTATGTTGTTAGACACATGTGTGGTTCTGGGTCCCTCGGCCCACACAGCACGCCCCTTACAAGAGCACATGGCTGGTGGCCCATGCAGGATCCCACGCCCAGTGCTCTGTGCCCCAACTGGCCTGCGGTTTGGAGAATAAACCCTGAGAAATGTTGGCAATGACTCAGCTGCCTCTCACTGACACAGGCAATGAGAAAACCATAGACTGTCCAGCGTGGAAGAACAAATCTTGGAGCCCGTCTCAACCCACCTCATCTTCTACAGGTAAGTAATCTAAGCCACGGAGAGGTGAAATGATGTGACCACGTTACTGTAAGAGACCTAAAGCCAGGTGCTGAGTAGACTGATAACAGAGCCAGGGCCTCCTCACTCCTGGTCCAGCTCTCCCTTCGTGCCCGCCATCCACCCCCTTGAACAAGAAGCCCAGAATTTACAATGAGAAATAATCATTGATTAAATGTAACAAACAAGTTACTCAAGCAAATGACAAGGGTGCCCTTTTCCGTGTCACAAGCGGATCCTTGGGTGCCAACCAGCTGAAGAATGGTTTGAGCAGCGGTACACCCTGGGGAGCCGGACTCACCAATGTCTGGGGACTTCACTAGGAGATGGAAGACCTCCAGGGTCACCCTGGGAGATTTCCCTCCAACACGTGAGGAGGGAGCCTAGGTCCTGGTGCTGGAGCCAGAGGCTGTCCTGGAAACCCCACTAGAGAAGTTCTCAGCATATCAGTGTCCTCCAGGACCTTCTAGAAACTGTGGGTCATGGATACATCATCGGGGGGGGGGGCAGGGGCCTGCCTGAGAACCTTCCCAGAACCCAAGAAGGACAGCAGGAGGTATCACAGAGCAGCCGGGCACAGACCTGCAGGGCGTTGATCAGCTGCCGGTCCTCCTGGCTGGTGAGGAACAAGGGCGTGATCCCGGCATCCGACAGCTTCAGCACAGCCTCCCTGAGCTGTGGGGATGCCCTCGTGGGCTTATTGCTGAAGAAAACGGCCACTTTCCTCATCAGGAATCCATTCCTCACTCGCTTGAACGTGTTTCTGGCCACGAAGGACATGGCAGTCTCCAGGCTCTGCTGCTTGGACGTCAGAGCCACCTGAAGGTTCTTGATCCTGTCCAGGAGGACGGACTTCTTCTTGGAGTCGGCAAACCGGATCTCCGTGGTCACCTCGTTGTTATAGGTGACCACCGCCACGCGGGCCCCCCTCGGGCAGTTGCTCTCGGCAATGGTCAAGTCGCCCACGATTTTCAAGAGCACATCCCTCATTCGGCTAAAGGCATCTTGGGTGACCCCCTCAGAGGTGTCCAAAGCAAAGGCCAGTTCCGTGGGGAACACGGGGCACTCCAGGGGCCCTGGGAAGGGGGAGGGGTTTCAAAGACAAACTTTACTTACTGGAAGAGGGGTCTTCTTTCCTCGAAGGAAGTCACACCACTGAAATGAACTTACCATAGCAGCAAGCTACAAAGGAACAGAGAGGGAAAGTCACTCCACCATGTGAGAACTTCAAATGTCAAAATAAAAGCATGCCCCCGACAGCAGGAAGCCATGTACTTACGACATTTATCTTTGATGCTCTGGACGAGGGCACATTGCTTTAAAAGGAAGAAAAGAAGGTGTAAGGACAGCAGACAAAAGACTCACAGACAATGACTTGTGCTGCATGCATGCAACTTACATCGATCGAGTCGCCTCTGTTGCCTTTGTGACCCTGAAAAACAAGGAAGGACAGGCTGACATGGGGGACGTAGGATGCAGGGAACAGTCTTCGATTCACAGAAACATGACAGAGGAAGCAGAGGTGGGACCTGGCTCATTCTCAGACTCCCTTGTACACTAGACTTGACGGCTCAAAG